CAAGCATTGCTTGAATCACGTGAACGAGAAAAATCTCTTGAGGCAAGAATGCAGGAGGAGATCAAGAGGCAAGTGCAGCTAGCAATGAGTCAAATGCAATCGCAATCAACGCCGGGAGTCACCATTAGCCCCGTTGGTCAGATGAAAAGCAGTTGTGCTTCTACGGAGCTGCCAGTTATTCAAGACGACGCTGGTTGCGCTCCTCGTTGATGACATTACCGAGCCTCTAACAAAATGTGAGCTGCACATTCCGGATGGTAATGCATCAATCATGGTGGTCTGTCGGGTTGTATCTCCAATAGACCGAACGAAGACACCAAGAATCCATGGGTCGATTATTCAACCTAGATATGCTAGCGCCTCGGTCCGATAGAGTGCTCAAAGGTTACAGCAATGTTCCTCTTGACATTGAAGGCGGTGATGGGGAGAAGACACTAGGAGAAACAGAGAAGACATTTATTCAATGGCGCAAACGCTTCATCATCATTCCCTGGGCGCCACCGCTTCCCCTACCTCACCCTAGGTACGTAATGAAAGTGAATGAAATATTATTTTCCATTAATTTTCTATTGGCTTCAAAAATAATTGACACACAAATTGTTTTTATAGCAGGGTCTCTCCTCACCTAGCCTAATCATTCATTCCCCATCTCATCACAAATGTCAAGGGGCGAGACGACTTCATCCCCACGGCGATCGCTAACTCCTACACCGCCCCATCGCCCACAACGATCTCCAACTCCTACACCGCCCCACCGCCTCCACAACGATCTCCAACATCTCCACGCCGGTCTCCACCAACACCGCCTCATCGCCTCCACGCCGATCTCCAACACCGCCCCCACCCTCCACAAATGACGCACTACAAAGACGCGTCTAAGGTCCGGTGGCAAAGAAGACCCCGAGAAAAAGAGTTATTTCTCAAGAAATACTTCTGAAAAGACTGATGAGCAAATAGCGGTGAAGAAGACAAAAAAGTAAAAGATTTTTTATAGATATCAAAACAAGAGTCAAGCAAAGCTTAAGGAGAAGCCGTTTTTTTACATACCACGAGATGTCTTTGAGGCGTAAGGTCGATGCTCACAAGAAAAAGATGATTGAACTTCGTAAGCCTTCGCCACTATCAGACTATGATCGCTCCCTCGTAAAGTCACATGATGCAGATAAGAAAAGGAAAAGAGCATCAGGAAGGATGTCCCCCAGCTCGGACAATGAAGCAACCAATGCAAAATCTTGTTGTTGCTAATGAATATGGTTCCAACATAGAAGTCTATCGACTGCATAACTCGAGAAGTGTCGGTTCAAGCCCTTAATGCTTTTTTTAAAGATACTGGTTTAACCTTGGATCAATTGATGAGCAAAGCTCCAATCCAGAACCTGGAAGTTGATACCTGGAAGACTTATAAATATGGCAAAAGTCTGTACAACCTGGCTCTGAATGAATTGGTACGCAAATGTACTTGCTCAACAAGTGGTACATGCAAAGGCAGTGGCGGGGGTGAGCAAAGTGGATCTTTGTCGATTTAGAGACCATCATTACTTCCGTATGGCGATGACATCTTACATATTAGTTTCAAGAATTGCATCAACTATTCCACATGGACGCCTGGACAAATCAATCATTAGCTCCTTTTGTTTGTAAGTGATTCTTACTTTTATTTAATAAACTCACTTCCATGCGACGTGTATATAATTATCCTCACATGTAACTTATATTTATATACTGATTCCGGATGTCGAGCTCCAAAGAATACAAGACACCAAAGTGTTGGCTTCATTGATCCTTATATCGTATTCAAAACCGTATTATTGTTAAGGAGCGATGGGTATCCGCTACGGAGAATATCATGATGTTCTTCGTGAAGCAAAGACGACAAGACAACAATACTTTTCCCGTATAACTTTGAGTAAGTGTTAATAATAATGTAGTCTACACATTTTATGTAATATCAATACAACTTATATGCATGTACGTGTGTGTATAAACCAATGCAGTTTTCCTTTGGATACTCATTGTCATTGAGTTAAACTCAAGTCGGTTACTAATCTTTGACCCGTTGAGAAAAGAACGGGCACTATACCAAGATATGATAGACATTATCCAGGGGTAATTTTGATCTCTCGCGCACAACTATTATTGAATAGACTTTGCCATAATTTATTAACGATCATACATTATTGGTCGCACAGGGTTTGGAAAGAGTTTATTCGGCAACATCGCAAGGATTGCAAGGCACCACTTAATGTAGTTGAAATACCAGAAGTTGTACTATATACACTTCCCCATGTGTTTAATTACTATATCGTACTTCAATTTACGTGTGAGATGATGAGAATAATCTTCTTCTAAATGATGTGGTGTTTTTGCGGCAGAACTGTGTAATAACTTGTGTGGATACTACGTTTGTGAATTTATCATTTGCGCACATAAGAAGAACTCCTGAAGATGTCCTCGAGTAACGATATATCAATTTTTATTTATTTTTAAATGAATATATATACATATCTGTGTATTAATACTTTTCCTTTTATTTCAAATGCAAGACTGAATGGTTGAAACGAAGGGTCATGCAAAAAGACCATCTGAAAGCAGTTCAAGAGTCAATAGCAGGATATCTTCTAGAAAAAGTGCTAAATCCCAACGGCGAGTTCTACTTTGATCTTAAGGAATAAATGATGTAAATTAAATGTTTATTGATATCGTTATTTTCGAGAACAAGATTATGAAAGTGTTGTATATATACATATATATATATCTATAATATATATAGTTTCATACTTTATTCGAATATAATAATGCTCAAGATGAGAATTAGATGTAATTATATGCATGCGTGTATTTATATTAGCAACGTAGAATACGTACATAAAAACATATTATATATTAAACAAATACGTGTAACTGAACTGAAAACAAAGTAAACAAAAGAAAAAGAAAAAGAAAAGGAACCTTTAGTCCCGGTTGGGGTTACCAACCGGGACTAAAGGGTGAACCATTAGTCCCGGTTGGTAACCCCAACCGAGACTAAAGGGCGCTTGAGTTCGTTCGCTGTTGGAGGGCCTTTTAGTCCCGGTTGGTGTTACCAACCGGGACTAAAGGTCCCTCTTTAATCCCGGCTCGATGACCCGGGACTGAAGGTTCCACCTTTAGTCCCGGGATCGTTGTCCCGGCGCGGTAACCGGGACTAAAGGCTGTTACCGCCCGGGACAACAAGTCCATTCTGTAGTAGTGCATGACAAGCATGAAACTGCTATGCCAGGTCAAAGCGGATATGGTTGGACTCTGGAAAAACTAAACACTCCAGGTCAAAGTCATAAGATGTTCAGGATGACTGCATCTGTCTTTTACAGTCTGCATGATCTAGTGAGTACTTATGGGCTCAAGTCATCCCTTCATATGAACTCTATCGAATCACTTGCCATCTTTCTAGTTGTGTGTGGTCATGGTTGGTCTAATAGTGCTCTACATGGTGTATTCAAGCGTTCTGGGGAGACAATAAGCAGAAAATTTGATGAGGTCCTCACGTGTGTGGTGGCTATGTGTCAGGATTACATACGGCCAATTGATCCTAATTTCTGTACAACACACACTAGAATTACTGGAGATCGCAGGATGATGCCATATTTTAAGGATTGCATTGGAGCACTAGATGGTACTCACATTTCAGCGACACCATCTCAGCATGATTTTATTAGATACATTGGTCGAACTGGCAAAGCAACCCAGAATGTTCTTGCTATTGTTGACTTTGATTTGCGATTTACATATGCTTCTATAGGGCAACCTGGCTCTATGCATGACACTAGTGTGCTCTTTCATGCATTAGAACATGATCATGACACATTCCCCCACCCTCCTGTAGGTATGTTAACCTATTTGTATGTAGAATGCTAACATTAGTACATCTTGTAATTGCTTCCTTATTTGTCTTTCCACATGTGTGTCCAGGGAAATATTACGTTGTCGATGCCGGATACCCAAATCGGCCTGGATATTTGGCGCCATACAAGGGTGAAAGATACCATGTACCTGATTGGCGGAGGGGTCCGGCTCCTAGTGGTGAGCAAGAGCTTTTTAACCATTTGCACTCCAGTGTTCGTAATGTGGTAGAGCGTACTTTTGGTGTGTGGAAAATGAAATGGAGAATCCTTCTCAAGATGCCGAGTTACCCTTTGGAAAAGCAAATGATGATTGTTGCAGGTACCATGTGTCTTCATAACTACATTCGTGAGAATCATGCACTAGATAAAGATTTTCGAAAGTGCGATCGGAATCCTGATTATGTGCCTATTATACCTGAGAGATATGCAGCACATCATCCTCCTCGGAGTGCTTCAGATAGTTCAACTCGACATTCTAACGATCGAAGCATGGATAGATTCCGTGATGACATTGCAAGGGCAATATTTCTTTCTAGATCATCGTGATATTGTATTGTTTGTATGGTTGGATGCTATGTGTATCCCTTGAATGTATTATTTTGTCAACAGCACTTTGTAACGACCACCTAATTATTAGCTTACCTATATTTTATATTTTTTTATTTCACAAAAATCACATTATTAATAGAGTCAACGCATAAAACTCATATCTCCAAGCAATAAACATATGCAAGGGCACAATGGACAATTGACATCTTCTATACATTCTAAAAAGCTATGAGAAGCCGTTTTGCCAAACGTTTTCGTACAAAATAAGCCAAAGCCAGAAAAAGCTGCTTTTCCATAGAAGCCAGAGCCAGAGTTATTTTTCCATGAGCCAGAGCCGTGACAAACGGGCCCTTAGATAGAGCCGCCGACTCTACTAAAACCTGGAAGTGTAGTAGTGTGGTCTCTACATGTGTTTTGCACACAACCAAACCTTAATTACAGTTTCAGCCTCTGGTTTCTGCAAAGAAGCTCTCAAAAAACTAAACCACAATGGGAAACACAAAAGTACTAATCCTCCTACAAGATAACCACCCGTGGTTGGCAAAAGTATGCAATAGCTACTGTCTCGCTATGGATCGCACAACCTCTCTCCTGCTCGTCTCCACCTTGGTGGTCTCCGTGGCCATAAGCTGCGTCCTCTTCTGGAAGCAGCGGCAGCTGACGAGGCGCCGAGCGCTGCTACCTCCCGGCCCAACGGGCTGGCCGGTGCTGGGCAACCTGCCGCAGCTGGGCGGCAGCAAGCACCACCAGACACTGCACAAGATGTCCAAGGTTTACGGCCCTCTACTGTGCCTGCGGTTCGGCAGCTCCGACGTGGTGGCAGCAAGCACCACCAGACACTGCACGAGCAGTTCCTCCGCGGCCACGATGCCAACTTCAGCTCCCGCCGTTCTAACTCCGGCGGTGAGCACATGGCGTACAACTACCAGGACATGGTGTTCGCGCCCTACGGCCCGAGGTGGCGCGCCAAGCGGAAGGTGTGCGCCATGAACCTCTTATGCCCAGGCGCGCTCGAACGCTTCGGCGCTGTCCGGGAGCGCGAGGCCGCGCTCATGGTGAGGTCGCTCGTGGCGGGATCAGCGTCACCAGTGGCAGTCGATGAGACCGTGAACGTCTGCACGACGAACGCGCTGTCCCGGCCAGCCGTGGGGCAGCGGGTGTTCGCTGCCGCTGGTGATGACGAGGGCGCCAGGGAGTTCAAGGTGATCGTGCTCGAGGTCATGCAGGTGGGCGGGGTGTTCAACGTTGGGGACTTCCTCCCAGCGCTCCGGTGGCTGGATCCGCAGGGCGTGGTGGCCAAGATGAAGAAGCTGCACCGCCGGTTCGACGACATGATGAACAGGATCATTGCTGACAAGAAGGCTGCTGGTGTTAGGACGGCCAGTGAGGAAAGCAAGGACAAGGACCTGCCGAGCGCCCTGCTCGCGATGGTGCAGAACGACGCGCGGCCCTTCACCGGCGGCGAGGAGGATAGGATCACCGAAACCGACGCTAAGGTACTGATCTTGGTACGTTGTTCTCGTTTTGCCATCCACACAGGCCAACAAAAACTAAAGGAAAATTTGAATATCTGTCGTAGCTATCTGAACCAGAGTATATAAAAAAAGACATTTCAAATTTGCAACCAAAACGGGCCTTGACGTCTAGGGAATAATGGTATTTTGAGACGAAATGATTTACACACAAAATGAAAGGACAAACATAAGTGAGACAAAAATACGTACAAAACTTCCCTGGCAACATTGTCTTCGATAGGCCAATGCCTATGCACACAGAAGACCAACCTACCTTTTTTATTTTTATAACTTCCTGATGTCAACATTATCTTCCCTAGGCCAGTCTAATACCCCAATGTATGCACATCCTAGGTAATGACTACCTATCGTTCTTTTTATTTTGATCTGCCTGTTGACAGCATTATCTTTCCTAGGCCAGTCCAATACTCCAATGCTTGCAAATGCCAGGTAATCGCTACCTTCCATTTTATTTTTAATATTTAACTGCTTGATGACAACATTATCTTCCCTAGGCCAGTTCAATACTCCAATGCATGCACATCCCAGGTAACGCCTACCTATTTTTTTTTATTTTGAACTGTCTGATGACAACATTATCTTCCCTAGGCCAGGCCAATGCATGAAAATCCCAGGTAGTGGTTAACTACGAGTTCTTTTTATTTTTAGTCTTTTTTTTCTAAAATATATATTAATAAGCCAGGTCAGGAATAATTTGAGTGGACATTATTCCTGTGCCAGCTCTTGTGCAATCCTACATGCATGACTTACCCCATGATATGTTTTCTAAATAACTGCTCTAGGTGAGGTGTTCTTTAGTGTTAGAAAATAACATCGATCAACGGACAGGTTGCTACTTCGATGAGGGCTGTGCAGACCCAGCAAGGATGGCAAAAAGCCGTGCTTTGAAGGAGAAACAGCAATGAAGTAGCTTTTTTTTCACTTCAGCTCCACGAGCAGCTCCAGTTATTGAACGTTATGTTAAACAGTGTCGGGTCAAACACACAAACAGTGAAATGTCCATAATACCCTTTCTTTACGTTTCTTCCTTTTTCTCTCCTTTTTTTATCCTTATCTGCTAACTTAGACTCACCAAGTCTCATCCGCTTGCTCCCGAGGCCTCTAACTTTGTTCATCTTAAGCCACGTGTGTCTCAATACGGGGCACGGACCTGTGATAGCCAAGGAGCACCGATGCAACCATGCCCAGCCGCTCAACGCACCGGGAGCCCGGCCGCTCCAATCCACAGGACAGACCACGGTGGCGGCGCGCTCCAATGCACCGGCAGCCATGCAACGGAGCCACGACAGTCGTGTGCCCCTGTTGGCTTTGCGCCCTCGCGGTCTGGTGCTCCACAACACAGGCGCTTCTCGGAAAAGAGGACGCATACATAGTTGAGGAGCTGGGGAAAGCTTTTTTTTGGGCTTCCTGGTCTTGTTTTGCTCCAGAGAGCGGAGATCGAGGAAGGAGGGGTGCCAAGTGGAGGCGTTTGGGACGTTTCGCTGTTGCGGAGGCAAGCGCTACCAAACAGTGCTAGATCCTCTCTAAGTCATATACATTTTGCCACAACATTGATGGCACAAAACCACAGCACAAATCCATGAAATCTACAAATAAAATTTGATGGATATTTCACTACTGCAGAATAGAGCTACGCAGGTGGCCAAAAAAAGGTTTCTAGAGTCTGCACAAGCAGCCTACCTCTACAAATTCTAATCACATTCTTACATAAACAAAATACCTCATTCATGACTTGTGCTTTAGGCTATACTTAACATATACACATAACTCGTATGCATGCATTCGTATACTTATTGAGCACTACAACTATTATATGCATGCACAGCATGTATATATATAGTCAACAATTATATGAACACAAAATTATATGCATATGCATAGCTAGCTTGTGTACCAAACTTATTTTAACACAAATTAAACTTAGAAACATAACCCATATAAGAAAATCTTATATGCACACATACTTATAAGAGTAACTATGAAGACAAAACTATTACACACATGTAGAACAAGCGGGCGACAAACATAGAAAAAATCCTCTGCATGCATACTCATTTTGTTTCCTTCTTGTTCCCTGGCTCCTTGACACACACGCATGGTGTGGCACGCAGAATCTGATCGTGGCGGGGACCGACACGACATCGACCATAGTGGAGTGGTCGCTCGCCGAGCTGATCCGCCACCGTGCTCTGCTCCGGCAAGCACAGGACGAGCTGGACGCTGTGGTCGGTCGCGACAGACTCGTCTCAGAGTCGGACCTCCCACGCCTCACATTATTCCTCAACGCAGCCATCAAGGAGACGCTCCGGCTCCACCCAACGACGCCACTCTCTGTCCCCCGCATGGCCGCTGACGAGTGCGAGGTCGCCGGCTACCGCATCCCCCGGGGCGCCCAGCTGCTGGTGAACCTGTGGGGCATCGGCCGCGACTCGGAGGTCTGGCCGGATCCACTGGAGTTCCGCCCGGCCAGGTTCTTGCCCGGTGGCTCGCACGCGGACGTGGACGTCAAGGGCGGCGACTTCGGGCTCATCCCCTTCGGCGCGGGCCGGAGGATCTACGCTGGGCTCAGCTGGGGGGTGAGGATGTTCACGCTCGCTAGTGCTACCCTGGTGCACGCGTTTGATTGGGAGGTACCGCCAGGGCAGACGGCCGAGAAGCTGGATATGGAGGAGGCCTTCACACTGATGCTGCAGCGGGCGGCTCCTTTGGTGCTCCGGCCGGTGCCTAGGCTACTCCCATCGGCATATACTATATGAGGATTTATATGAAGATGAATGCATGGAATCGCATATGATATAACAATATATAATGCTCAGCTCCAATACCACATCGCAGTCGAATGTGCACGTACGTGTATGTATTTTTTTTTAAAGGACGTTAAGAGCTTTGCCGCGATTTTTATTAGACGGAGAGGTTTTTAGTACAAAACAGCTGGATCCAATACCACATCTGTTTTTTTTTTTTTTTTGCTAAATTAAAGGAAGCAGAACTGCTATACTCTTCGGTTCACTTGTAGTTGTACTCACTGTAGGATACAGTAGTTTTGCCGAGTGCCAGGGGCACTCGGCAAAGTCGCAAAAACACTCGGCAATTGCTGTGCCGAGCACTCGGCATACAACACATGGCATCTGTGTGTCGGCAAACAGCTATTTGCCAAGTGTTTTTTATCGCGCACTCAGCAAATGGTTTGCCGATTGTCAAATTTGACACTCGGCAAAAAAAGTGGTTTGCCGAGTGTTTTTCCAAAATACACTCGGCAAAGGATTATTGTTTGCCGAGTGTTTTTGGGAATTACACTCGGCAAACCTATTTTCCAAAGAAAAAAATATTTTTTTTCTCAGCATACCATTATTGTTTGCCGAGTGTTTTTATAAATTACACTCGGCAAACCTATTTTCCAAAGAAGCATGTCATTATTGTTTGCCGAGTGTTTTTATGAATTATACTCGGCAAACCTATTTTCCAAAGAAAAAAAATAATTTTTTTTCTCAGTATACCATTATTGTTTGCCGAGTGTTTTTATGAATTACACTCGGCAAACCTATTTTTCAAAGGAAAAAAATAATTAGGAATTACACTCGCCTGCTGCCGTCTGTGTGCTGCTTGTGGTAGCGCATCCATCCATCCATCCATGATACTCCATTAGCACATATAGCAACACAGCATACCGTGAATGCAAGCAGGTGATGATATTTGGTGACGCTGTCAGTACCTTCATCTGGGTACGCTTGTTCTGGAACCAAAATTTGACCTGGAGAGGCTCCAGTCCCAGCTCCCAGCTCAACTCCTTTCTCTGCTTGTCATCAGGGTGCGGGTACTCCTGGATCTGGTGCTGGATATGGCGGTGGTAGCGCTTCTTGCGGGCTGGCTGCAGGCTGAGATCCTCCTGCAGCTCCTCACCACCGGAGCCTGACCCGGCACCTCCCTCCTTGTTGTCGCTGGCAGACTTGCTCTCCATCAGCAGCTCGTCGTGGCGTGGGCCGCGTGCATCGCTCTCACTCGTGGCTGCTTGCGGCGGGTGCTGCTGCTGCTGCTGCTGCTGCTGGCCGTGGTTCTGATGCTGCTGCTGCTGCATCATAGCGAGCTGATGGTGCCCATCCATCATGTTCTGCATGACAGATTGAAATGTCAGTTGTAGTTGTAGAGTATCATCTCAAACATATATGATTGATCTGAGATTACTGAGAACCAATAAGAAAAATGAAGAATTAACATTTGTGCATGGTTCTATTGGTTTCCTCTTACATCGACGATCTTCTTCAACTGTGAGCAATTTATTTTACATAAACAGATCAAAATTGATGAACTTATATTATGCTCAGGCAAAGTAAACAAGTACTGCAGTACATTTGCAATATTAAGGAGGCATAAATACAGGAGGCATAGAAGATACCTCCTGAAATATTTTAGATACAGGAGGCATAAAAATTTCAGTAAGATTATACCCCTATCAACTCTTGGCATATATAGGCATGTGATTCTATCTATCAAACTTTTTCATCACAAAGAAACACTTAGCATACAGAGTTCTGTTTCTTCAGTTTGGTCTATATACGTAGCTAGCAATTCTCCTTGCACATCCTGTAAGTTTTTTTTTGTTACAAGTAATAATTTCAGTTCCAAAGAAAATTACTGCACTCGATCTGGTTAGAAACACCATTCATGTAATGATAATAAAAAGTGAGATAAATTAAAAAAATGGTCTGATACAAACCTCCATCAAACTCGGTTCAGTATTAGCATGAATGCTCAAGACCTCTTATATGGAAAAGCAATATATGTAATACTCATGCACTGAGTCTTAATGCAAAAAATTAATAATAATAGTACACTAAGGCCTAGGTTTAGTTAATTGTCATGATTAGTCACGGGTTAATGCATTTTATGCTTAATTTAAAGCTTAATGTTCTACATTAAGCCAAGTTCATGCCTTAGTTAGCCCCTGTTGATGATGTCTTATGCTAAGACGGTGCATATTAAGCCACTAGGATTCGGATTAGCATGTAGGAGGAGAATTTGCAAATCACGGCCAAATTGAAACTTTCCCCCAAATTCCCGAAACCCTAAGATCATGATTTACGCCCTTTTACCCCAAATTTAAAAATGGAAACCCTAATTTCTACTAAGTTTGGGCCTTGGGACCTCTTACCTTAGCTCGGCTTCGTCACTGCCATCATGCTTGGGCACGGCGGCGCCACTGACATGTCCTCACCCCGACACCACCACCGCGCATCAGGACCCGTCGCGCCACCGCCGCAGATGAAGAACATGGCTCGTTGCGACGCCCGTTACGGACCGCGCCACCTCGCCGGATTGCGCGGAGGAGGCCGCCGAGGCGACGGCCACTATTCACTGCCGCTGCCTCTGCGGAAGAAGCCCCACCGGGATCGATCTGTGAGGGAGAGGGTGACGGAGAGTTAGGAAGAGGGAGAGAGGGTCCGCCAGCCACTCACCTAGGAGATGAAGCTCCACCTTCAGAGCCACGGCTATGGGCAGATCTAGGCCGTCGTCGATCGAGGGGAGGAGATCCGGAGGCTAGAGATCCAAAGCGCCATTGTTGCGGACGGGGAAGGAGCTATGCTCTTCGCGCATGGTTGACGAGGTCAAGAACAGGGGAGCAAACCACGAGCGCGGCGGATCCAGGGGAGGGGCGCCGCTGGTGAGGGAGGGGAGGGAGGGGCCAGGGAAGAGAGGGAGGGGAGGGGTGGCGGATCCGGGGGAGGGGCGCCGCCGGTGAGGGAGGGGAGGGAGGGGCCGGGGAAGAGAGGGAGGGGAGGGGCCGGCCGCCGGGCATGGGAGGAGGGGTAGGGGCCCGGCCGCCGGTGGGAGGAGGAGGCGCTTGGCGCACGCGGGAGAGGATGGGAGGGAGGGAGGGGGGTTGTGCGTCGCAAGGGAGAGGAGGGGCGGGTGGGTGATTTTAGTGGGAGGGTTATTTTTTTTTCTTTGCCGAGTGTTGTTTCTGGACACTCGGCAAACCTCTATTTTTGCCGAGTGTTTTTTCTGTGACACTCGGTAAACCCTCTATTTGCCGAGTGTTTTTGTTTGACACTCGGCAAACCCCCTATTTTTTATTTTTTATTTATTTTTATTTATTTTTCTCTTTTCATGGGAGGGGAAAAATAGCAAGCTCAGAAAGTTTGAGCTCAATCTAATGTATAGAAAAAGTTTCAAGGTCAAACGATGATTGAACCGTCGCTTCGCCTTGAAACCTATTCCATTCTCTCTCGATACCACGATTCTTCCTTAGAGATGCTTCGGTTTCTAAGCAATGTACGTTACAAATTTTTCAAAATCTTCTCAATTTTTACCATAGCCTCTACGTATCATATCACGATACAATGGCAAGTCCTATGTTTTTCAGACTTTGTTTGAATTTTTTATAATTAAAAAACCAATAAGCTACATGTCGATGGTCGAGTGTTGGCACCCAGATGTTTCAAATTTCTTTTTATTTCTTCGGTAAGGCAAAAAATAGACTTGACACCATGAATATGATTTTTCTACCCATTTTATTCTATTATTTCATGCACTTATAGATCAAATTTGACGTAAATCAATTAAATTCCTAGAATGCATTTAATGAATTAAAACTAGATCCAAAAAATGCTAAATTTTAACATGGATTATGCTATGTTGTTTGTTGAGTACAAAAAAAGTTTCAAGGTCAAATAAGAAAAAATAAATAAATTGTTTGCCGAGTGTTGCCCAACAGACACTCGGCAAAAGGGCAATGGAGGGACACGTGGCACGATGTTTGCCGAGTGTTGTATTTTGCCGAGTGTTTTCCCCATATTTGCCGAGTGCCAGAGTTTGCCGAGTGTTTTTCAGTAGAATTGCCGAGTGTCATAATGTTTGCCTATTGTTTTTTAGTAAGACACTCGGCAAACAGATGATTTGCTGAGTGTCAAATCTTTGCCGAGTGTTTTTAGTTTGGCACTCGGCAAAGAGATGGTTTACCGAGTGTCCGATAAAATACACTCGGCAAAGAATATGACACTCGGCAAACTATTCGATTCCGGTACTTTAGCAGAGTTTCTATTTTCTCGGTTTTGACGGCCTGACTCCTGCGTTGTTTACATTTTTCTTTTAATTTGAACTGGTGGCGTATAGTCGGTACCTCGCAGAAACAGTCAAGGAGACTGAGAGCTGGACTACACTAAGCGACCTGTCTGAAGAGACTGGTCATCACTACTACCGAAACTGTTTTTTCAGGCGATCAGTCTGCCCGACACTGCTTCCCCAACGCCGTGCAGTGGTGGCAGCTACCACCGTGGCCTCGCTATACTCAGAGCTCGAGCCACTGGCGCCCTCCTGAGCCCACGCCGCCGCCTCCCAGGCCTACACCGCCACATCCCGCGCCACCGCATCCTGGCCTCACGGCGTTGCCACATTTGGGACCCGCACCACTGCCACATCTCAAGGCCATGCCGTGGCCTGCGGAGCCGCAACGCTGCCGCCTGCTGAGCCCTCAAAAATGCTACAGCGTCGCATCACGGGCTTGCGCCGCCACATCACGAGCCTACCCATCGTAGCCTCCCTGGCCCGGACATCCGCTGCAAGGATCCAAGACTGCCTTGCTGGATCTGCGTTGCCGCAGCTCGAGAGGAGAGGGAGATGACCGGTAGAGAGGCGCGACGATGGAGGCGGCATAATGCTGTTGTGAGAGGGAGGGAGATGTGGTAGGAAAGCCCTAGGTGCACCCATTCTTTTATTGGGGAATTGTCTGTGTGCCATTAAAAAAGATCGCAATGCCCTGTATGTCCCTGAAAAAGTTCAGCGGTCTTCAGCGCCACTACTACAACTTTTTCGTGTCCTCCATGCCACTTCCGTCAGTTTGGGCTCTAACGCCGTCAAACTGCAGGTGTGAAAAGACGAAAATACCCTTAAGTCTAAATATGTTATTAATTTTTTTAAACATCTTAACGACTTCAAATGAAAAAACTCAAAACTAGAAAGTTGTAGATCTCGTCGAGATCTATAATTTTAATATAAAAATTATTTTCATTTAATTCCACAAAAAAATAATATGATTTTTCTAAGATATCTGGGGCTAAGAAATTCTGCTTATGCTGGTGAGCTCCCATTAGAGATAGGGAAGCTACAGCTTTTGCAGACGTTGAACTTGTCCGGAACTCTTATAGAAAAATTGCCATCGAGTATTGTTGGGCTAAGACGACTGATGTTCCTGGATCTTAATCTTATACGTCTGCCAAATGGATTGAGGAATCTAACAACCTTAGAAGTGCTACTGGATGCAATTGTTGATTCTGCGCACATTGCGGAAAAGCTAGGCCATTTGACGCAGCTGAGGATCCTTTCTGTTGAGCTAGAATTGGGCAACGAAACAAGATGTGATGAGGGCATTTGCAAAGCTTTAGTGGAGTCCCTAGGCAAACTGGAAAAAATCGAAAAAATGAGAGTAGACTCAGACGCCGGAGTGATGAATCTTGAAGGCTCGCTGTTGTCCCTAGGCAACCTGTCCTATCTTCGTATTGGTCAAACTAGTCTGTTGCCAACATGGATTAATCCTGGATCGCTTCTCCTCCTATCCTGCCTGAAAATTACAGTGGCTCAGGTCCGAAGGGAGGACATCCATGTCCTCGGGATGCTGCGGGCTCTTTGTTGTCTGGAAGTGAGTGTGTTTCATGATGATGATGTTGATGATGATGACACACAAGTGCTGGAAAGGTTCATGGTTGGCCCTGATGCCTTCCCATGTGCAAGAGACTGCAGATTCTATGGTTTTCTGATGGTGCCGTCTATGTTCCCACGAGGAGCTATGCCCATGCTTGAAAATTTCAGGTTCTGTATCCGCACAGAGGCTTTCGCTGAAGGTGAATTCACTACTGATGACCTGGCCTTGGGTCATCTACCGTCTCTTCAAAGTGTGTCTGTTCGTCACAACTGTCGAAAGGAAGAGAGCAATGGCGAAGAGGAGGTGGTAATAAAGGAAGTGAAAGAGAAGATGAGGCACGAGGCGGATGTCCACCCCAACCACCCTTCCATTGATATCCACGAATATTCAATATGGGAGCTGCAGATGTTTGAATATATGAGGGGTGTTTATGATGCAATTGGTCAACCTCCGCCACCGATGATATTTGAGGGGTGTTTATGCTGCAATCGGTCAACCTCCACCACCGATGTCAGTCCCTCCTCCTCACCCTGCTCTAAATACTGTTTCAGGCACCGTGAGTCGTTTTACAACCTTATAATCACCGTTTCTATTTTATGCAGAATCAATCTTACAAAGATGCCCAGACACTAGAGACTTAGTGACTAATGCTATATGTTTGACACATGCAATCTCTTCTCCTTTGTGCAGCAATAATCGGAGGCATCGAATGAGCCTCATGACCCAGCGTGGTCGCAGTGGAACTCGTGGCCTAAGTGGCTACTTGTGATTTTATTTGTATTTCCATTTGTGGACTACCTGTGACTACTTGTGACTATTTGTGGTTGTGAATGAAGCTACTTGTGATTCGGAAGTTTATTTGTATTTATGTGTTGTCGATATATCTATATGAACTGCATGAGATGCCTATTGTGAACTATCTGTGATGGATGTGATGTTTATTTGAATGTGGTACGTGGCTTGTGACCCAACCATATAAACTGATTATATGTGGCAGCTTTGCCGAGTGTTACACTCGGCAAAAGCCCTATTTGCCGAGTGTCATGAAAATACACTCGGCAAAGAGAGACACGTGGCAGAAATCTGTGCTTTCTGGGGCTAAAATGACTTCTTTGTCGAGTGTCTGCGCTGTGATACTCTGTAAAGAAGCCAACATTTGTACGTTCTGGGCTAGTCTTTGCCGAGTGTCCAGTATTTGACACTCGGTAAAAGATAGCAGGTTTGCTGAGTGCCCGGGAGTTGACACTCGGCAAAGGACGAAGGTTTGCCGAGTGCCTGGAATTTGACACACGGCAAAAGGAGTAAGCTTTGCCGAGTGTCTGGGAGTTGACACTCAACAAAGGAGGCAGGTTTCCCGAGTGCCTCTAATTTGACACACGGCAAAATTAGGAATCATTGCTGAGTGTCTGGGAGTTGACACTCGGCAAACGCGCCGTGACCGTCTCCGCGTCGTCGCTTTACTTTTTTTCGCCGAGCGTCGGTTTTAGCTCTCGGCAAAGTGTTTGCCGAGTGTCCGATAGAAAACACTCGGCAAAGAGGCGTTTATCGACACTGTAGATGTTGTGTGCTGTTTGCCAAGCATCACACTCGATAAATATTTTGCCGAGCGTTTTTTGGTCTTTGCCAAGTGCCTGTGGCACACGACAAACTCACTGTTTCCGGTAGTGGATTCCCATTAGCTTATTTTCCTAGCAACTCCTTAAGCGACATCACCATTTTTCTTTGGACCCATTGTTCCTTCTTGCGCACCAACCACACAGGCAGAAAAATTATTGTACCATCGGTTCCTCTACCACAGCGCACTATCGATTCCTCTACCAAAACAATTAAATGCATCTAAAAGGAACTGAAACATCAAATGCATGTAGAAGGAAATGAATCATTATCGCTCCAGTCGAGTTTAAATAACTTCGCTCCGCCTCGGTTACACTCTTCGGCCACCTCGCTCCGCCTTGACCATGCCTTGCCCCGCTCGGCAAAAATGCACCATGTCGTACCGCCACCGGGCTTCTATCAGCATAGTTCGTAACGTCCCCAGCAAGATATCGCGCTCTATCGTGGCCGTCGTGAGGCTCGTGCCTAGGATCGCCTGGCTATCGAAAGGAGAAGATGGACGTCTAGGGCTGAACAGCACCCCCAATAGGCTCGGCCTTGCTCAGCGGCACTGCATCGCCCTGCCCATTCACTCATGCGATGCATACAGAGCTTCACATGCCATAGCTCGCTCGCCATCCTCGATGGTGGTAGGGCTCTGTCCCTAGCCCCAGCGACTGTTCACCTAAAGCATAATCTCGACAGAGGAATCTTGATACATGTTGTTGAGCACTTGATGCCGCCAGCCATGCACACAACAAGGGTACAACCGACGGAGAAATACAAATTTGCATGTTGGTCTTGACAAAACACATAGGAAAATATATTTCCCTATCAGCTTAATTAGATAAAAAGTCACAAAGAAATTGAGCATTTCCCTGTCGTTTTGTAATATCCCAGTTGTTTTTTGTTGAACCGATAAAAAAGTTACAATTCGGACAGCGGCTTCAACAAAAAACAACTGGGATATTACAAAATGACAGGGAAATGCTCAATTTCTTTGTGACTTTTTATCTAATTAAGCTGATAGGGAAATATATTTTCCTATGTGTTTTGTCAAGACCAACATGCAAATTTGTATTTCTCCGTCGGTTATACCCTTGTTGTGTGCATGGCTGGCGGCATCAAGTGCTCAACAACATGTATCAAGATTCCTCTGTCGAGATTATGCTTTAGGTGAACAGTCGCTGGGGCTAGGGACAGAGCCCTACCACCATCGAGGACGGCGAGCGAGCTATGGCATGTGAAGCTCCGTATGCATCGCATGAGTGAATGGGCAGGGCGATGCAGTGCCGCTGAGCAAGGCCGAGCCTATTGGGGGTGCTGTTCAGCCCTAGACGTCCATCTTCTCCTTTCGATAGCCAGGCGATCCTAGGCACGAGCCTCACGACGGCCACGATAGAGCGCGATATCTTGCTGGGGACGTTACGAACTATGCTGATAGAAGCCCGGTGGCGGTACGACATGGTGCATTTTTGCCGAGCGGGGCAAGGCATGGTCAAGGCGGAGCGAGGTGGCCGAAGAGTGTAACCGAGGCGGAGCGAAGTTATTTAAACTCGACTGGAGCGATAATGATTCATTTCCTTCTACATGCATTTGATGTTTCAGTTCCTTTTAGATGCATTTAATTGTTTTGGTAGAGGAATCGATAGTGCGCTGTGGTAGAGGAACCGATGGTACAATAATTTTTCTGCCTGTGTGGTTGGTGCGCAAGAAGGAACAATGGGTCCAAAGAAAAATGGTGATGTCGCTTAAGGAGTTGCTAGGAAAATAAGCTAATGGGAATCCACCACCGAAACAGTGAGTTTGTCGTGCCACGTGCACTTGGCAAAGACCAAAAAACGCCTGCAAAATATTTATCGAGTGTGATGCTTGGCAAACAGCACACAACATCTACAAAGTGTCGATAAACGCCTCTTTGCCGAAAGTGTTTTCTATCGGACACTGGCAAACACTTTGCCGAGAGCTAAAACCGACGCCGCGAAAAAAAGTAAAGCGACGACGCTGGAGACGGTCACGGCGCTGCTTGCCGAAAGTGTCAACTCCCGCACACTCAGCAATGATTCCTAATTTTGCCATGTGTCAAATTAGAGGCACTCGGAAACCTGCCTCCTTTGTCGAAAGTGTCAACTCCCGCACACTCGGCAAAGCTTCCTCCTTTTGCCGCGGTGTCAAATTCTGTGCACTCGCAAACATTCGCCCTTTGCCGAAAGTGTCAACTCCCGGCACTCAACAAACCTGCTTATCTTTACCGAGTGTCAACATCGACACTCGCAAAGACTAGCCCGTAACGCATAAATGTTGGCTTTTTACCGAGTATAACAGCGCAGTATACACTCGGCTAAAGAAGCCATTTTAGCCCCGTAAAGCACATATTTCTGCCACGTGTCTCTTTGCCGAGTGTATTTTCATGGCACTCGGCAATAGGGCTTTTGCCGAGTGTAACACTCGCAAAGCTGCCACATATAATCAGTTTATATGGTTGGGTCACAAGCCACGCATCACATTCAAATAAACATCACATCCATCATGATAGTTCACAATAGGCATCACATGCAGTTCATATAGATATATCGACAACACATAAATACAAATAAACTAGAATCACAAGTAGCTTCATTCACAACCACAAATAGTCACAAGTAGTCATGTGTAGTCCACAAATGGAAATACAAATAAAATCACAAGTAGCCACTTAGGCCACGAGTTCCATCGCTGACCACACCGGGTCATGGGGCTCATTCGATGCCTCCGATTATTGCTGCACAAAGGAGAAGGGATTGCATGTGTCAAACATATAGCATTAGTCACTAAGTTTCTAGTGTCTGGGCATCTTTGTAAGATTGATTCTGCATAAAATAGAAACGGTGATTATAAGGTTGTAAAACGACTCACGGTGCCTGAAACAGTATTTGGAGCAGGGTGAGGAGGAGGTACTGGCATCGGTGGCGGAGGTTGACCGATTGCAGCATAAACACCCCTCAAATATCATCGGTGGCGGAGGTTGACCAATTGCATCATAAACACCCCTCATATATTCAAACATCTGCAGCTCCCATATTGAATATTCGTGGATATCAATGGAAGGGTGGTTGGGGTGGACATCCGCCTCGTGCCTCATCTTCTCTTTCACTTCCTTTATTACCACCTCCTCTTCGCCATTGCTCTTCCTTTCGACAGTTGTGACGTAACAGACACACTTTGAAGAGACGGTAGATGACCCAAGGCCAGGTCATCAGTAGTGAATTCACCTTCAGCGAAAGCCTCTGTGCGGATACAGAAACTGAAATTTTCAAGCATGGGCATAGCCTCGTGGGAACATAGACGGCACCATCAGAAAACCATAGAATCTGCAGTCTCTTGCACATGGAAGGCATCAGGGCCAACCATGAACCTTTCCAGCACTTGTATGTCATCATCATCAACATCATCATCATGAAACACACTCACTTCCAGACAACAAAGAGCCTGCAGCATCCTGAGGACATGGATGTCCTCCTTCGCACCTGAGCCACTGTAATTTTCAGGCAGGATAGGAGAAGGATCCAGGATTAATCCATGTTGGCAACAGACTAGTTTGACAAATACGAAGATAGGACAGGTTGCCTAGGGACAACAGCGAGCCTTCAAGATTCATCACTCCGGCGTCTGAGTCTACTCTCATTTTTTCGATTTTTTCCAGTTTGCCTAGGGACTCCACTAAAGCTTTGCAAATGCCCTCATCACATCTTGTTTCGTTGCCCAATTCTAGCTCAACAGAAACGATCCTCAGCTGCGCTAAATGGCCTAGCTCTTCCGCAATGAATGTGCGCAGAATCAACAATTGCATCCAGTAGCACTTCTAAGGTTGTTAGATTCTCAATCCATTTGGCAGACGTATAAGATTAAGATCCAGGAACATCAGTCGCCTTAGCCCAACAATACTGATGGCAATTTTTCTATAAGAGTTCCTGACAAGTTCAACGTCTGCAAAAGCTGTAGCTTCCCTATCTCTAATGGGAGCTCACCAGCATAAGCAGAATTTCTTAGCCCCAGATACCTTAGGTGA